CCAACCACGGCCACGCGCCTTCCCGCCCCTCGGCCATCGCCCCGCCCCCTAACCGCACTCTTCCCTCCTAAGGCTCCGCCTCCAAACACTGGCCCCGCCTACTCCCCGGAGGCCCCGCCCCATTTCTCAGCGCTGGAACTGTGTGCGGCTCTCGGTGTAAACTGAAGCTAGAGGGCGACGCAGTGCCAGACAATCCCCAGCCGTCGCCGTTTCTCCGCCTGCCCTCGCGGGGGCGCCGCGGCCCGCTCTTCGCGGGCGGTGCAGGGTTACGGGGGCCAACACCTGTCGGGGTTCAGTGGCCCTTGGGCTGAGCCTGAGTAATTTAACCACCAATCCAAGTAAGTCAGCCGTGTCCGCGGCTTGACACATCACCCGCTGGACTCTCCCTTCTTGGTTGGTTGGCGGACTGTCGTTGTGGCCTCACCGGCTGTCAGGAAGCAGGGTTGAGCCGCAGGGCATGAGGCCTAGGGTAGCCTTTCAAGCTGGGGGAACTAAAAGCTTGTAGCTCGGACCCTAGGAGCCTTCCTGGGGAAGCCCCAGCGCTCAGGATCTCCTGCTCACCCATCCAGCCCCCTTTCATGTCTGAGCGCTTCAGGCACCGTGGACGGTCAGACCAGGAAATGCCACTAACTTGTCAACATTCTATCATCCTTGGAAGTTAAGGACCTCACACCCCACATCTCTGTACCCTTCCTTCTACCCACCCCCCAAACTCTGCTCTAATTATCCCTGTCGCAGCTATTATAGCGTGTTGTACTTACTCAACCAAACTGCCTTTACCAAGTTGACAAAGCGGTTTATTTTGAAAGGCTGTCATGTTAGCCAGGCCGGCTTTGAACTCACTACAGAAGATGACCATGGGCTCATGTCTCCCCTTTCTGAGCACTGGAATTACGGTTATGAACCATCAGGCCAACCAAAACCTTGTTTTTAAATAATTTAAGGTTCGGGTACACACCTGTTAATCCTTGTTGGCAAGGACAGGAGCATCTTTACATTGGAGGCCAGTCTGGTGTATATAGCAAATACCAGGCCAGCCTGGGCTACATAAGGCCTTGTTTTAAAAATGAAAATTTAGCTTCACAGCTAAATTTTGAACGTCTTCATTGCATCTCTCTTTAACTCCTCTTAACATTAAAAAAAAAATCTGTTCTTTCCAAATTTCATACTTACATAATGTTCTTTGGTCATATTTCCCCTCAAGAGCCTTTCTGAGCCTCTTACCCCTCCCACCAGATCCCTCCCCAATGACCACATTTTTTTCCCTCCTGAGACATTTTCAGATCAGTTCTAGACACGATGCCCCTTTACTTCTAAATACTCCAGAGTGTAGGCACAGGACACCTATGCTGGGAGTTCCCACCAGTCTCTCCGAAGTTCAGTGTTCCTGCTGTCCTTCCATTTTTCCACGTATACTACTCCCTTCCCTGGTAATGAAAAGTCTGCCTTCATTATTCATAATTTGCTTCTGCATTTAACTGCTTTGTGGTACAATGCACACTGTAATTTCAGAATAACTAATCCATATCATTGCAGACAAATAGTCCTGCCAATAAGTGTTCAGAAATTATTCATGGTCCCTTATAGCCAAAGGATACATAGTATACTATGCGGTTGACATCACTTGAGTGAATTCCTCCCTACTCAGACTATCACTACATCTGGCCTGGCACTTACTATGTACCCTAGACTGGCCCCAGACTCACAACCATCCCCCTGCCTCAGCCTCTTGGATGATAAGATCACATGTATGTGCCATCGAGCCCGTCTTTAAATTTGCTGCTTTTTTTTTCTTTTTTTCTGCATGATACATGGGTGTGGCTATTTAAAAGTTGCATTTTGCCGGTTGTGATAGCGCACACTTTTAAACCCAGCACTCCAGGAGGCAGAGCCAGATAGAGTTCTGCCAAGTTGGTAGTTGATCTTGATTGTCAATTTGATAGGCTTTAGAATCACCTTTGAAACAAACCTCCATGAGGGAGTTTCTTGATTAGGCTAAGTGAGGCAGGAAACCCCTACTCAGCTGTGGCCGGCACTATGACAGGATCAGGGGTCCTGGAAAGCCAAACCGAACACCGGCATTCACAGCTCTCTGCTTCCCGACTGGACACAGTGTGACCAGTTGCCTCTGGCTTAAGTTGCCATGCCCACCCCACATAATATGGATTGTGCTCCATGAAACTATTAGCCAAAGTAAGTTTTTCCTTAGGTTTCCAACTGTCGGGCAGGAATTTGGTCACAGCAGTGAGAGACATGGTTAGTACAGGAGGTAACTAGAGGATGGCAACAGAGCCCTCATGAATTGGATTTGTGACATTGGAAGAGACGCCCCAGACAGCTGCATATTACCTGTGAACCAGAAAGACAACAGCCAACACATACCAGCATATTGATCCTGAGTTCCCCAACTCATGCCTAGATCGGCCCCATATGCCTATATGCATGCCTGTTTGCCAAAAGATAGCACCAGATCTCATTATGGATGGTTGTGAGCCCCCATGTGGTTGCTGGGAATTGAATTCGGGACCTCTGGAAGAGCAGCCAGGGCTCTTAACCTCTGAGATATCTCTCCAGTCCCTCATCTAAATCTTTTTTTTTTTTTTAATTGTTTAAAGGCTGGGCAGTGGTGATGCACACCTCCAATCCCAGCACTTGGGAGACAGAGGCAGGTTGAGCCTGCAACCCCTAGTTTGTTTGCTTTTTAGTTGTGTGTATGTGTGTATCTGTGGGTAGATATGTGCACGTGTGTGCAGGTGTCTGTGGCAGACAGAAGAGGGCGCCCAATCCCATGGCGTTGGAGTTAAAGGTGGTTATGAACGGACTGATGTAGGTGCTGGGAACCAAACCTAGGCCTTTGTGAGAACAGTGCACACTCAGCACTACTGATCCATCTCTCAGCCCCTCCCCCACCTCCCCACCCTCTGTCCCCATTCTGTTGCACAGCTTTCAAGTCTCACAACCTATTTGATGGATTTTATTTATTTTTGTTTTCTGTTATTTTTGAGTCAGGCTCTTGTTCTGAAGCTCAGACTGGACCTGGAACTGAAAGACCCCCGAAGAGGCACTTTCGTAGAGGGAGACCCACACACCCAGGAATCAGCGAGGCCACGAACTGGATGCAAAAAACAAGAGGCTTTATTGGAGACGCGGGTACCCGGGGCGACTTAGC